CTTCTCAAGGAATGACTTATTTGCTGCTGGTTTCTGTAAAAGTGGCAAAACTTTAACTAGTTGCGTGACCAGGAATTGAAATGCAAGCGTACAGCCAGGCTGGAGCCTGGTTTCGGGAATGCGTTGCAATGGTTATTTTGGGTAAGAGGGCGACTTCTTCAGCTGACATAAAAAAAACAAACAAACAAACAAAACAAAACAAATTACTTAGTTGTGTGAGCAGATGTTAAATTATGCAGTATATCTTATTTCTGTGTCGGAATTGCTGTGTTGCTACAAGCCTCTGTGTGTTACAGTAACTGTGAATGGTAGAAATGAGCCATTTGTTTCTTATAATAGTCTGCTTGTAAAGCTGGGCAGCACATCTGTTATAATTCTTGTTATTGCTTGTTTAGGTAGAGACAGTTTGTGATTTTCTGCAGTTGTTAGACTGCATCCCACTTTCTGACTCCTATTTACAAATAATGTTTTATATAAACCCCAACTTTGTGTATGACAACCAGCAGCTTTCTCACTACTGATTTCCACATTTTCAAATGTTTTTGAAAAAATACTTCTCCTGTACTTGTTTATGACAGCAGTCTCTCTGCCTGTGGCTTTATGGTTTGACCTTTTATGTGCTTTGTACTCTGAGATTTTTGGGCAGAAAGCAGTGATACTCAATTATTAATTGAACTTGTCCCTCTGTGGTATGTAGAGTGCTCTTCTCTGGTTACTCAACTCTTTTAGAGTTGCCCACCAATGTGACACGTGTGGGCTGCAGTGAAGTTGTGGCCTGTAAAGGTGAAGTGACTTGTTTATTGTAGTACAGTTGTTGTTGCACAGCTCATGTAATAGTGGAGGAATTCTTGTGTCCTCATGAACTACTGAGAGGAAGCAGGAGTAGAACCTCCCAGGAATGGGAGGTTATAGTATTATATCAACTCATAATAATAAAAATACTCCAGCTTGGTAACTTTAGAAAGAAGCTAGACCTACGTCTCTCACTAGCTTATATACCACAGAATGCACAGAGAGGAAAAAGTGATTTACCCTCAGGGAACAGAGAATGGATATTTTACATGTTTTCTCTCTGCAATTCCAGAGACACAAGTCTGTGCATGTTGCCTTATGGTTCGTTTTGAGGTTAAATAGTAAGTTGTCTCCACTGCTGTGTTGCACAACATGTTATTGAGGGTTCTGGGTCTTACAGCAATTCAAATTGCTTTGATTTCTGTCAGCCAGCACATAATGATGTTATGATGTTTGTACAGCTGCAGTTTTGCCTATCTTGATCTTGTTCTCAAATGTATCTTCTTTAGAAATGAGGGAGAAAGACAGTGTCCAGTACTGTATGAAACAGGTGTGCTCGTTTCATTTTACACAGCATGTGTGATATCACACACCAGGGTGAAGGAACAAGAATAACCAAGTTAAGCAGTGGCTGGTTTTCTTTAGTGTTTTCTGACTTTTTGAATAAGGTGAAGTTGTGGCCAAAATCAAGATATTTTCAGTTGCTGCTTTTAGTCTTGATAGGAAAAAAAAGTTCTTTAGGGCAAGAAATCAACTGTGCCATGTTAGAAATTATATTCTTTTTCAAAAGCCCTTTTTGGGTTGCTCTGATGCTGGGGAACAGTAGATTTCCTTGGTACTTGAGACTTTTCTGAAGAAAACAAACATGCCACCAGAAGTCAAAACAAAATACATTTCCTCTAGATTTGAATATGATAAAAGATGTTTTATTCTTAACCTTCGTACGTGTCACCTTTAATGCAAAAGTACTTTATTTCTCCATGCAGAACTAAGTCGTGTGTCTAGTTGCTATCTATTCTTTCATCCATAAAAAACCCCTATGACAATATGCAAAAATCAAAGCTCTTACCGAAGTGAAGGCAAAGAAATGGGTATTAAAAGAAAATTAATAACTGAGTCTTTCTGTGTAAGTTTTTCTAGCCCAGAGAAAAGTCATTTTGGTCATTCGCTTCATGACCTTTTTTAACTGCAAAACCTTGTATTAATGCACTGCAGTACTGTTCAGTGCCTAGAACTTCAGAGTCCTGACTGAGAATCACTGATTCTCTGTCTCTTACTGGCAAATATAATATTGCTTGCTGGGGATCTTCTCTTCATTATTGGTATAATTGTTGGTAGCAAAAATTTTGTATATGTGATCATTTTTATAATACCTCACATTCTGCAACAATTAATTTTAGTGAACCTTACAGTGTAGAATAAGGAAGCTGCCTATCAGCCCTGGCAGAGGTTGCCTCCAGGCTGATCCATGGATCTTTGGACAGAGCTATTTGCAAGACAAGAGCAGGTGTTTGTCTTTCCAGCAAAGTTGGGTAGGTTGATTCGTCAGCAGTTCTCAAAATTTCTAAACTTTTTTCTTTTTATTGCAGGAGTCCAAGTTTAAGGAAACTGGAGTAATTACACCTGAAGAAGTAAGTGTTTAGAAATAACAAAGTATTTTGAAAGTAATGGTAAATCTTTTACACAAAATGAAATGTTCATCTCAAACAGTTCATGTCTTTGCCAAATAATTGTTGCCTCTTGAAACAATTTTCATGAAGAGAAACTTGTAAATCGCCTTCTTACTCTACAGATGAAGTATATCAACATAATTCCTCTTGAGATGACACTTGACATCTGAATGTAGGGTGCTTTTTTCCTCTGTTACGTTGTGAAAAGATTGAAAGGAAGCTGGGTCAGCAGCTCCATTTCTCATGGGAGTTCAGGACTAAAGCAGGAATATATTGATTTAAAAAGTCTTTCCCCTGAGCAACTCAAAGAGGAACCTTTATCTTTGGAACAGTCTTTGCTTACCTCACTTTTGGTTCCTTCCAGGGCTCTGTCCAGATCATTACGTATACTTGTCCACACCAAGTATCCAGTGATTATTATTTTTCCCTCCTCTTCTCTATAGGCTACTTCAGGCTATCTTGCATTGCTGCCAAGCAGTTGTATTTTTTTAAGGACTCTGATGCAAAGAGAAACAAAAGGGATTTTTTTCTGGACTAGTAAAAACACTGATTGTATTTTGATTTCCCCGTTCTGCTTTTTCTCTTATTAAAATACTACTGATCTACAAATACATTGTCTTTACAGAGGTCTAAGAAAACAATGTTAAGATTTTTGTGTAGAATGAAAGAAAAATGAAACAGAATGCAGAAATGTGAAGATGAGGTGGAAAAAAATGGAACAAATGATGACTGATGCAGGTGGATAATGTGGACAGAAGTATCTTTTCTGTCATTGGTACCTTGCAGTTTTCTGCTCTGTTTTCTGGCAAGCAAGCACTGCTGCTTTCTGTGACCCAGAAGAGTACCACGCAGACAAACAGGCTTAGCAATATGTTCTCTTGTTCTGATAACCATATTTATGTGTGTATATATAAATATTTATGTATCATATATATATTTAATAATAATACATGAGCTTCATTATATACAAACAAGAATAACACAAAGTCTAGGAAAATGTTCTGCTAATACTTAATCCCTTCTTGATTTATGGGAGAAAACTTTGCAGGAGTACTGAAAGAAAAGGTATTTTCTATAGAATGTAGCAAGAACCACACTATATTGTATTACACTATTTGCAGTGTTTAAACACCAGTATGACTGTGAATAGTATGTGTTCTCTGTGTCAAAATAGATGCTGCTGGGAT